GGAGACCAATAATCAGAGGTTGTGTGTGTGTGTGTGTGTGTGTGTGTGTGTGTGTGTGTGGGGAGTAATGACTTACCTAATCCTCCTGAAGATGCTGTCTAGATCTTTCTTCATCTCCACAAGGGTGCGGGTGTGGAGCAGGAAGCGCTCGTTCATCTGCTGCAGTCGCACGTTAGACAGCCCGTTGAAGTTGATCAGCATTTCATTGGTTTTCTCAAAGCGATCAAGCCTAGTTTCACACACAAAAAAGCAACGATTATCTTCAAAAAGACAATGAACAAAAGAAACAAGGCAGGTGTCCGCATCACTGTCATGCACAAGTGTAATTAGCAATGCCAAAAAGCACACCCATTTTATATTTAGCAGTGTGAAATAGCAGAAAAAAGCCACATGAAGCCTCACATGTGTCTCTGAGCCTGGATGATGGCGTTAACATCCTCTGAGTTGACCATGCTCAGCATCCTGTTACAGAAGACTCCGGATGCTGTTGGCTCCACCATGATGAAGATCAAGACGGAAAGAAAGCTGCAAATAAAAACCTTTATTTAGAAATGCAAGGGCGTGGTGATATGATATAATACACAAAGAAAGAGTAAATAACGAAACTAACACAGATGCAGTAACTTAAATACGCTCATCATCTTCTACAGGGGCTGTCAGCTCCCACTGTTCAGTCCCTCTGTGATATTTTAATGTCAGCATGTTTAATAACGTTATAATAGTTGTGCAGAGTCTCCTGACAGCAGGTTGGACGAACCATTGGTTAGCCTGCGAGCTAACGAGTTAAGAAGCGAAGCAACATAAATTCACATTAGTTACCTCAGGTGTCTCGGTGGGTGTTTGTGTCGACCTCCTGCTGCGTGAATATGAGATTTAAAACGACATCTGCAGCCTAAAGGAGCCTCTGACAGCTGGCTGTAAAATAAAAACAAAGCTCCTCCGTGCTTCTTTTCGACTTCCTGTCATATGACCACCACTTCCTTTTTCTTTTCTTTATTTAAAACAGCGCAACTCAAATGTTCATTAATCTACTTTGGTTATAGTTTGTTGTTTTTAGATGCAAAATTATATCGTTACAATGACGACAAAAGTGTGTTATATTTCAAAACCAGGCGTAAATAAAATACAAAAATAAAATAGCAGTAAAAAAAAAAGTTATATGTTGATAATTTTTAAACCCAGGAAATTAAAACAACTGCATGCTATTAGAATGTGAAACAAATGAAAAAGCATGTATAATTTCCAATTTCCAAGTGCATGCAATATTGTCCAAAATGATTTACTATATTTACTTTATTTAATAGATTTTACAGCATCATCCAAAAACCATGTGTCAGAGTTCTCCACAGCCTTGTTCCCACTGGGACTTCTCAAATGTCAAATGTTCAAAATGTTGTTTTTTTCAAGGTTTTTTTCATTCCATCCTTGTTTCAGGTTTACATCAAACACACAGGTAATATTTCTTACAGATGCTGTCAGATGCAAAGGAATAAAGGAATAGTGCAACCCCAAAAGTTTATATTTCTTTGTGTTTTAATCTTAAGCAAAGTGATTATAGTGTAATAACTACAGTAAAGTAAGAAGGGTGAGGTACATGTGAGCTAAATTCTGTCTTTGGTCTGGCAGACCTGCTGTATGGAGGCATTGCTAACAAAAAACTAAATAAATATGCAGTGCATTGTCTCTGAAATGTTGTAAATTCACTTTTACCTTATAAGTATATTCCCTTATAATACTTACAGTATATATGTCACAGCCATGAGTGTTTTTGAGAAAATAAAGTCCATTCATTTCAAATTCATTTCACATTATGATTAACTGAATTTAGTTCATTTTTACCCACCTTATATAAATAAAGTCACTGACTCCATGCTTCCAGAAAAACTCACAAAATTACTTTTATTAAGGGACATGTAAAAAAAGTACATGATGTATAAAAAATACAAAACTGCTTTGTCTAACTTGTAAGCTAAGTAAATGCATAGCAACAATACATGCAAGTCTAGAGTTAGATATCCTACTGTTCTGTAACATTTTTAAGCTACAGGCTAAAAGGGCAAAAAGCACAGTTTGGTTGCAATCTATCATTCGTTTCAGTCTACATGATACAGATTCAAAGTGATGATACAGAATAAGTTAGGTTGCACGCAACTCAACTGATGAGTAAATAAATATTTAACGTTTCACAAATATTGACATCCAGTAATTCAACGCAGTGTTAAACAAAGCCTGCGTGAGAATTACATCGATTTCTGATGTACAAAACCATACTACGTATAAGCTAAAGATGAAAGAAATTCATAGTATTACACTTCTAAGCAGGGATGCAGTGATACAAATAAATATGAAATAAATAAATAATGAAACCCGAAAGCCACGTGGCTCACCCAGCCCCTATGTACAAAACACACCCTCTGCTCCCAACTACAACATCATGTATGAAATTTCATATTAGTGTTCTTTTTAGAATACCATAAACATACATACAAATGACCTCGGACAAGCACAAGTGTCCATAGAAAACCTGCATTGATTTAACATTGGGTGAATTTCAATGTGCTTTGGCTTTAATTTGATAAATAAAGTAATATTAGGATATATATATCACAACACATTTGTGGTATATAAGAGGCAATGGCATAGAATTTTAGTTTGTATAAAGTATTTTACCATACACTGACCCGGGAATGACGGAAATCACTGATACTGATATTGCTGAATGACTATAGACCGATTGTGTGTTTTGCTGTTGTATTGTGTGGTATTATTATGCAAAGACACTTTTGTTTTTCCTTTTTCTGTTTTTCTTTTTTTTTTTACATATAAAAATAAGTTAAAACTTCAGAGAAATGGATCCAAAAAAATAAAAGTAAGATTTACAGTTTATATAAGGCCATGCAATTTTAGTAGACTCATGCATCAGATCATTAGGTCTTTTGGATGAGTGGGCTTGCCATTCATGCAAAAAATGCACTATGTGTTGCTGAGGCCACAATAAATATAGCTACTGTCCCTTTTTTGTTCCTTAATACCAATCCAGAATTAACACTAGCGCTGTCTGTAACACATAATTAAGGCTGGTGTATTTGCTGTTGAAGCTGTGAATAGGCCTTATTTAAATGGGACCCACATACGTATTTGCACACAGAGACACTAATCCAGTCTACAAACACAAACTCTTTGATAGGAGTGGATGTCAATGTGAATATACACAAACACAAGGGATACTGTACAGGTCTGTGCTCTGTCAATGTAAAGTGTCATTCATTCCAAAACGAGATATCCACCATTTAAAAAAAAAGAAAAGAGCAGTCTACTTGCTAACGAAAGCAAAATTAATCTCAGTATATTAGTCTTCTTAACATACAGTATATGCTCATAAAATATCCACATTGAGAATGAGTTGAATCTGCTGAAAATGTTGAGTAATGAATTTCAAGTAGCACCTTTTGTTTTGTTTTTGTTTTGTTTCTGTAAGTAAGTGGATCTATTGCGTTTTGGAATAAAATCTTGTAAAATGTACCAGCAAACTAGAGCTCCAGCATTTCATCTAAAGTCCATCAAAAAACACCATGGTCCATCGTCAGGATGGTAAGAATATTAAATACAAAAAAAAAACAAGAGACAAAGTGGAAACACAACAGTCCTTAAATTACCGTTTAAAAATAACAAAACAAACCTCCAACATTATTACGGAGAAGACCGAAGGATTTACAGCTGCTTTATGATTGAAGGCAATCTGAGGCAACTTCTTTCTGTAAGTGCTTGAGAGAGAGAAAACAAAAAAAAACCCCAGCACCCCAAGATTTCTTCAGAGATGTGTGCAAGGTGTTTGACTTCACCACCCTTCCTCCACAGTCGGCGTTGTCACGGTAACGCATAGCTGAGCAGGCTCGGCGTTTTCCTCACACGTCTGCGTCTCCTTCACTTCCTCTTCCGTCTGGGATTTCTGCCCGCCGACACCCACGCCCACCTGGCTCTCCTCTACTTCCACCTCCTCCTCCTCGTCTTCCTCATCATCCTCCTCTTCCTCCTCCTCCTCCTCCTGTCGCTGCTGCTGCCGTTGTTTGTTGCGGCAGCACGGTTTGAACAAATGGGGGTCGATGAGCACCTCCCCGAAGCGTCCCTTGTAGATTATTCCACAGCACACCTTTTGCCTGGACAAAACACAACACAGTGCATCTGTTCAAGTGTGTGAAGTGACACCAAAACTAAAGCCTGTGTTTGTGTTTTACATACTTCAGACCATTTATAGTACTGCAACAAATATCTAAAGTTAGTGAATTCTGTCCAAAGGAGAATGAAGTCATTTTGAATTAAAAGTGTCTGAAATATAATTATTGAATTATTTAAATCTTACAAAAGAGGATATAATGTTTGATGTGGAGCAGAGTTATTATAGTTTTTATCTTTATTTTTTGTTTTCAACTCCAGTTTCAGTGAATTTCCAGAGTGGAATTTAGTTTGTATTGTTTAAAAATGTTATATTTGAGTTTTTACTAGTTTCAGTGTTAATTTCAGTTTTTTATTTATTATGATATAGACAGGTTTAAGATGTTCAGAATAGGTTGTTTAGTCTAGTTTTTTATTTCAGTTTACTAAAATAGTTTCAGTTTTAGTTTAGTTTTAGTTAACTATAAGAACCTTGCAGTGAAGAAATATATTTCTCAACAAAGTTTCATGTCTCTGCAAGCTTTTTATCCTAAAGATGAATGAAAATCATTGGCTGTCAGGAAACAGGATTTTTACTTAAAAACACACAGAAACAAAACTTAAATAAAGCCCTTCTTCTAAATTAGACGAGCAGTCCATATTACTTTTAGTAGCTTAAGACCCAGAGGCCACAGCAATAAGATGCCGCACTCTCCTAGTTCAAATTAAATTGCTACTGCATTGTGATTTATATTTAAACATCAACTAGTTGTACAAATGTAATTTAACATTGCCACCATCTTATTATTATTATTATTCAACCGGTCTGACAGACATCAAATTACACAGGTGTCTTCAATTATCCTACCTCATTAAATGGAAACACTGTGTGAGTGAGAAACTGTCAACTTGCCTTTACATTTTGAGCAACTTGATAATAAAGAGCTCTCAGTTTCCCTGACACCAGACGTAGTGTCAAAAACAAGCTGCAATGTGCTGTTGTGAAACCTAAATAATGAGTCAGCAGATCAGAAAGGTCTTACCTCTTCCAGTATGTTAGGTCCAGAAATGAGAAAACCGGGGAGCGGCTGGATCCCGGACTGAGCTCTGTGTCTGATCCGTCGTCTGACAGGTTGCTGTAGCTCGGAGACTGAGCAGGAGAGGCACTGGAGGTGGTGCTGTGGGCATCTGAATCTGGTGGGCAGGACAAAAACCAATGCAGGGATAATTAGGTGTGAGACATGCGGTAATGTATGACAAACAATGAGCAAATAATGAACAAATGAGTGGATTCCATCAACTCACTGTTTCTTTTCAGCTCCTTCTGCAGCCTGCTGATCTGACTCGGTCGCGCTTTCTTGGAGATGGACTTTATCTTCTTGGGCCTGGAAGTTATCTTTAGGCTGGGACCTCCTCTGGCATCCACAACCTGTATGGATGAGATTAGATGAGTTTGCATAATTCATGTCACATCATGACAAAGTAATATCTCGACCATAACATCAGCACTTTGATCCAGACTCACATGGTTCCAGTTCTTCTTGGTTCCCACCGGTAGCTTTTTCCATCGTTTCACCAGGAGCACACAGGCGTTACAGATTTCTCCAGATCGCGTTTCACTCAGTCTGCAAGACAATTACAGTTTGTGAAGAAATGCAGGAGAGAAAATAAAAGTGTCCCTCTCTCTCTCCATACCCCCACGTGTCCTGCTGTGTCTCTTACCCAAAACAGCTCCTGAAGTCTTTCTCATACCGCTTGCTGTCCGTGAAACGAGAGCTTGAAGACTTTGCCCGGCAGATGCAGCAGCCGTCCAAACTCCTGTACATTTTTGGCTTATGAAAGCCAAACATCTGTGCGCAAAATATGAACACAAAACCAGTATTAACATCTCAAGCTCTCAGCAGTGTGCGCAAAGTGTGTTAACTGCGGTACCTCCCCGCAGCCGCACATTTCTGGCTCAGATCAGATATTTTATTTGTACCATTTCAGTGTAGTTTAATGTGAATTAATTAGAAAAAGACATGTGGTGTTTTGCGCACTATAAAAACATCCAGGGAAAGCGATTTTGTTGGGAGCATCTCTCCGCTTTGACCCACATGGGGAGGGGGGAAGTAGGTCAACAGTCAGACAGCGTGTCAGACAGATCATGTCACCATGCTGCGTTCACAGGATGCACGCTTCATTTTGGAAACTCCAAATATAAGCACGCACATCTCCCGATCCTGCAGGCTGCAGAAGGATACCTCAAACACAAACTACACCAGATAGCGATGCACTGCCAGAGAAATGCAAAATATATTTATATATAGCCTATATATATTAAATGTGTCCGGGGGAAATCACTCGAAATGCACTAAGCGCCCTGATTATGCAGAGGAATTATGATTTATGTTGCTAGGCAAAAATTTAATCTCCACAGCACATGTAGACCTGAACTGCGGCAAAACTGCGAGCCGCGCCCCCCAGACTGGATTTTTTTTTTCTTGCCATCAGTCCTCGGGGTCTACTGACAGTGCGGTGCCACAGAGAGCAGACAGAGAGCTGCAGAAAGGAGAGAGCTCTCACTCCGCTGGTTTTATACCGAATTCAGACTGGGGCGATGTGGGTGGAAACATGAGAACCAGAACAAGGTCTCTTGGTGGCTGAAGATATCAGTATGTGTGGAAAAAAACATGATAAGATGAGAATGGGAAAGTCTGTAAAGTATAAAATAAGACTCTTTTTCAAGGTCTGGGGCCTCAGGTATATTAAGAAGAGTAAGTTTTCAGATATTGCAAACTAATAAATTAACTCTGGAGGAGTAAAGTGAGTTTTTTTCTTTTGTTTTAAAGGTGTAGACGTACAACATTAATGTGCTGTTGAACATCATCAGTATGTGTTTCTGTTGTTTTTAACTTTGCTTATTTTCGTACTGAAAATACATGTTTTTGTTTCTTTTATGGCACATTATAAAAAGGTAGTTGTATCTGTCATAAAACAAATGTCAGTCTGTAAAATATGAAACACATACATCCAGACCTGCGTAGTATAACAGCCAGATTTCAATGTAAGAGCTTTAATGAATCTATGTATAGTTTAATGTGGCAGAAAGTTTAACCTGCAAATAAACTTGCAAATAAAGCCTTAAATTATAACTTACAGTAGCAGCAAATTTAGGTCACAAATCATCACAAACGTCTAATTAAATAGAAACAATATGAAGGTATAATAAAAAATAATAAGAACTTAGTGAATAGAAAGGTATTAAAATGATAAAATAAAGCAATATATACCATCATTTTAAATTCAATATTCTCAGCATGTTACAATGCCAACCACATAGTCACCTCATTACTTATTTTCCCATTGTTTCTTTTTAAAAATAATATAATAAACATAAAAACTACAATAATACATCTACCTATACTGTATGTACTGTATCTACTCTGTCATACCCACCTACCATGTACATAAAGATACCTGCACATAAAATATCTTTTTCAGCATCCTTTGCACTCCGCACCATTACACTAATGTCTACAAATGTTAGTTTATAGACATGTATAACTGCACATATAAGTCTTTTTTGTTGTTTGTTGTTGTGCATTGAGATTCCTTATATGTGCTCCCACATACCTGGCCAATAAAAAGTGGTTCTGGTTCTGATTCTGAGCCGATGAGTGTCTCATCTGCGAACCGACAGACGATCTCTGCAGCAGAATACAGTACGTGACGCAACGCAACATGGCAACACACTTCAAAGGCGGAGGCAGTGTGTGGAGAAAGGGGGTGTGATGCGATTTTCCGCAACAAAAAAATAAAAACCCCTGTAATAATAAAAGTAAACTGTAAAAATCCGACCGAAAGCAGTCGGGACGCGTCCGAACAACGCCCCGGCTTTTTAAAATAAAAGAAGACACCGAGGAATCCACTTGTTTTTATCGAGAGAAAAGTGCAAGTCGCCTAATTTCACCGCCCACTCCAGCGCGAGGAAAGCATGGCATGCCACACGACCTGCTTCATGCGCACCCATTTTATGATGAACGTCCTCTGCTCGACGATGCCTTCGACTTTACCCCACACCTAACTAACGCCAAACACGTTTCCGAAAGCAAAAAAAAACCCCACCTCCCGTTCTTTTGTTTTAAACCCGAATAGGAGCCGCTTTCAGATAATGCTGTAATCTGATCTTTACTCTTTGTTATTGCACAGCCGCGTCACTGCAACAGTCCTCCTCACAACTACATGTGCACCAAGTTCACAGCGGCGGCTTCTGTAAAGTCCCTGTTTCATTACACTACATGTGTGTGTGTCGCATTTTTAATTCTGTTTGTGAGTCTCGTGAGGGTGCACACTTTTTTTTTTTTGTGTGTGTTTTGCTGTTTTTGTTGACAGCAAGCGGCCGCGTGCTGAGACGCATCTGTGTGTCCGGGTGGGCGTGAGAGATTCAACTTGGGTTTATTTAGCGACGCGTAAATGTGTAGTAGACTGCAGGCGCACTGCAGCCTCGATGTCGGCGTTAATGCCGCGCACAGGAGTTGTGTTTCTAACCGACTTCAGGTCACATTTGTGGAGCGATATCCCCTCCACCACCACCCCCACCGCACACACACACCCCCAGCAGTCAAATGCACGGAAACAAACAATAATAACAGCCACCCATTGCTCATCGTGGGTGCGCGTTAAAGCCTGTCTTTTTCATTATCTGTCGCCTTTTTTACCACTTTTTAACCCGCTAACTTTAACTGTTTATAAGGTGACCTACACGTCAAGTTGGCCACCCAGTCGGTGTTGCAGCAGGCCTTAAAAAAAAAAAAAAAAGAGCAATTGTTCTGAGACAACTCGGAGCTTGTTTTTTTTAAAATTACACATCCCAAAAAAGCACCGCTAAGACTTTAAACCCTCCTTAAAACCCCCAGACCCGACAAAACACATAAACCGGCTGCATTAATTACCTTATTGCAAGTTGCGTGAAGCTGATACAAAGTAATAGTCCTTATAGCGCCTCGCTACGATGTGACTATTATGAAAATCAACCCGCATCAGTAAAAAAAAAAACCCGCTCCCCTTGTTGATGTCTGCGCCTGTGGACGGGACTGGATAGTTGTGGACACAGTGCGCATGCGTCGTATCCACACCTCCATTTCAGAGTAGGGGCAAGAAGGCTTTTTTCTTTTTCTTCAATCAAAGCATTTACATAAACGACGTGTGACGTGTCCGTGCGTCTGCATGCTACTGGCCTTATAAGGATGGGAACATTGCGCGGGAACAGGGGGCTCGGCCCCGGTTGCTATGGCACATTGGAGAGTGTAAGCAAAGGGGCGGGGCCTGACGTTTTTTACTACAGGACGCCAGATGGCTCGTCTGGAGGCCTACAGGGGTTTTATTTTGTAGGAGGATGGGAGGAGGATGGGAGGAGGATGGGAGGAGGAGGTGCTGGTCGTCTAGCACGGGAGATGCGCTTTGTTGATTTCAGTTGCGTGACAACTGAACCAGATTAGTGGTTAAATAAGAGGTGGTGAAACATGGCCTCCATCCAGTGGCCGGCGTAGGAGGGACAGCCAATTGATTTATTTATTTATTTATTATTTTCAGACAGTAGTAGTTTTTATAGCATGTATATGACTGATGTCTGTGCTGTTATGTCAGGGTTTAATATTTGGTAAAGCTTAATTTCAATTAAAAGGGGATAACCCTTAAATATCGCCTTAAAATGCATTAGATTCTCTACCCTGAACACAAACATCATAAGATAAGATGTTTCTTTATTGATTTGAAATTCAAATTAGACACAGCAGCATAGAGGGAATGTAGTGCAAAAAGTACAATAAAAATAGCAAAATAAGATATAAAATATAATATAAGACTATAATTAAAAATATATACACTATATGCAATATGCAGTAAAATTATGTGCAAAAATATTGTGAGCAGCTTTTGACTAAAAAAACTAAACTGTACATGTGCAATTTAAGATTAATAGTTGAGTCTTCAGCCTCTTAAGCGTCACAAAAGTACATTTTTACTCCACAGTTATTTAATTGAATTGCATTACACTGCAGACTTTGGGTCCATCCCTTCTATGTTCTCAGGTGTTGGGAACTGTTGGGTCTCTAAATAATTTTATAGGGAGTATAATTTATTTGAAAAGTCTATTTGAAAAGTCCTGAGATAACTTCTGTTATGAAACTGGCAAATAAATACAAATAAAATTTAATATACATACATATAGTGGCTATGGTACTATCAGTCTGTACATAGAGCTACGGTACTCAGTTAAGTTTGCATTTGGCAAACAAAAGTCAAATCAAAACCAAAATTAGATGTGGTTAAGAGCATACAGTTGACGTATTGGCAACTGAAAATAATTTGACTATGCAGGAATATTTTGACATCTTTTCCGTGTGAGTGAACAACACAAAAACAAGAACAAAAACAAATAAGTTATGTCAATATTAACTTTAATCTTTGACAACACATTTCATAAATAACAATTCATTATTGCTTTTCTCTAATTTGTATTTAAATGATAATAGAGGCTCGGTCATCAAGGGTTACATAGTGCTTGCAGGACAGTGCAGGAGACGGCATTTTCATAATAACTGTTAAATTAAATGTGACATCAACATAATACCTAGCGTTGATAAAGAACCTGTGCTCTATTCATTGTCTGAAGACAGATGAACAGCTTAGAAACAAACAGCGTGACTATCATCCACATAATCAGTAAAGTGTGTCCATAGTTTAACTCTATTGTTTTACACACACACACACACACACACACACACACACACACACACACAGAAAAGACGCCTTTATACAGAAAAAAAATACCACAAATTCATTACACCATAATAACAAATGGGTACAATTCTATCAAATATCTAATGAAGCAAAAATATTTACAATGAAAGAGGGAGGAGGGGGAACAAAAAAGGTTTCTGACAAAGTGACGAAGACTATTTGAACTGACACAATTAGGACACACCAGTTTGGTTTTCAATGTTTCCCCAACTGAAGACTCACAAGCTCGACTCTGCAGCGTGTGACCCTGAATCGAAATAAACAAAGAGAAACAGGCAAGAAATAACAAGAGCATAATAATATAACATTTTGTATTATAGAGTATATTTACCAAGATATCCGATGAATGAAAAAAAAATGAAGTTTATATATAATAAAGGCCTGAGTCCTGGTATTTCAGATCACAACACACTGAAGACGTAAAACAAACCAAACAGATTTTGGCCATGCATGTGCTTAGTTTAAAAGTCAAGTGCAAGCAATACAGCAGTTGTAGGAGGGTTATAGTCCTTCCCTATGGTCGGGTACAGTAAATGACGTGGAGCTGTGAAAATATCTACTGTAGATGTGGGATTATGAATGACTCTATTTCTCCTTGGGGAAACAGAATTTCACAGTGTAAACAAGCATAGGAAAAAAACGGACTATTTCCTGGAGCAAATACAGTATATAAGACATTTACATCAGTGAACAAGGCATTATGTTTGGAGCTCGAGTTGCCAGTGACTTTCATCTGAGTCCACTGTCCTGTTTCATGATAAAGTCACATTTCTCAAGTGTCCTGTTTCCCGCAGATGAAAAGATGAACATATGAACCCATCAGCATTCCTGCAGTGGGTTACTAAAAGCATCTGTGATCCCCTGGCAGGGTCAGAGGTCAACTCCTTTCACCAGTGCAGTCTCCAGGGTGACGGTGAAATCATTGAGTGTGTGTAGGATGCGGGAGAGAGAGTGCACAGCGGCACGGTCCCGCAGGAGAGCGCCTTCCTCGTAAGTCCGTGCTGTCAGGGGAACGTCGGCCAGCAGGGGGAGCCACTGAGAGAGAAGGCGGTCCCTGCCAAGAGGAAAATGGTCAGCGGTCAATAATGGTCCAATAATGGTCCAATAATGTCTGCGAGTTGGAACCTTTACATGCATGTTATGCACTCGTTCCTGTGATGTAATATCAATAGCGTTAAAATTCATCAATGATAGGAACATGAAGTCTTCATGTGATGCATGGTATTAATGCAACACGAAGAGAGTGAATTGGTTGTAGTCTCATGGTTCATGTAGTGTAGTAAAATGAAGAGAGTGATTAAGCTTAGACTTCGAACAGAGAGGATACTTTGTTTCTTGATGCTAGTGATGTATACAGAAACAGAATATGCGTGATCTTTCAGTAACTGAGAGGATATAAGTGAGTGGTCTGTATCAGGATGAGTACCTGTCGCTGCCAAGCATCCAGGTGTCCGTCACCTCTGGAAGAGAGCCACTCCGGAAGCGTCCTCTGTCAATTCATAAAGGACCTTCTACATACTCCACCTAATCGTTCTCCTTCAGTCTCTCATCTCAGAGGGGAGACATCTTTTTACACAAGCTGCATCGCGTTGTTGTGACCGCTGAAATGATTCCCTGGTGCCCATTCCTTAGAGAGGGTTCCCTTCCAGGATGGTTTAAATCGTATAATATGGGAAAGAAGATCAGAGGTAATCACGTGTTTGTTGGAATTTGTATATAAGATAAAAAGTACTGTAAGTCAGTGTGAGTTTATTTTAAGTGAAGTTATATATTCCAATCTCTCGGAGACATCGTCGTTTTATTGTTTCTGTTCCAAACTGTCTTCGAATCGAGCTGGTGGTGATTGTCGCATGAATGTCACATATCCAAATGTGATTATTTTATACGACAAATATACTCATATGCAGCACAAGCCGGTTTTTTCACCAGTTCAAACTATCTTCTAGTGTCTTGTCTCTCTACATATCTTATTCAATCATTTTGTTCAAATTTCACAGTTCACTATTATAATGATCGTTACCTGAACTGACAGTTATCATGTACTGAGGGGTAGCCTATACACGTTAAGAGAAAGCAGTGATTCCATATGGTATTAATCTAGGACAGATCAGATGGGTGACATACTTATTAGGATCATCAAAACTCTAGCAAAGGGTCTTGCCCTGGCTCGCATGATGCCAACTAAACGATGCAACCAAGACAAGCATCTAAGCGCTCTCCAGTAGACAACGAGTTGGAAAGTGTAGTATAAGTTCCAGAACTGGATGTTTGACTGCTATGATATCCAGAGATGTATCCCATGAATACTGCATCAGAGATGACGATGTATAATTTTTTAGAACTTTGTAACAATTGTTATGTCGTATTACTGATGTTTTTTTTTAACAATAAACATATTAATAGGCTTCTCTTTTTGCAAATTCATTTTTTTTACCCTGAACCTCCCTTTGCATTTGTTGTTCCTCTTTGGTTTTGGTTTTTAAGAAAACTAAACGAAATTGTATATAAGGTAGAGTGACTATTAGAAATAATTTAAAATCAAGACATTCTCAAAGAAATTACCCAAAGATAAAAACCATTGAATGAAAAAATAACACATTCGGCCTTCACAGAGTTATCCACCTCAATTCACATAATATGGCAGGGGTATCTTGGTAGATGTATTTATTAGAAAGATGAACGCACACGAAATATGTAAGAAATGTTAGTCCTTTTGCCGACCCTGTTGAAAAAACAGGATATTGTTTAATAAGTTCATCATATTCAAAGGTAAATTATCATTAGTAGTGATTATTGACCATTGCTCTATGAATTTACATTATTCAGTGGCTGAATGGACTGATCAAAGAAAAAGATTTGTACAGTTAATGTTCCTATATAATTAATAACACCACAAAGTACGGAGACTTATTGTGTCAATACTATGCTGGAAAATCTTATTATGTGAAAATAAGATTCATCCTGTTCTCATAACTTTATTTTTTTGGACAATAGGTGATATAGTTACTCTTCTGAAGAGGCTGTCTCGGATAAGAGACCAATTTTAGATACAACTGCTCAAAAATGAGAGACCATTCATATACATATGTCAATCCACCTTTTGGGATCCCCGTTTGGGTCTCAATCGGTGGTGGAGTCGTTGTTATCTCAACATACACAACGTTTTATTTCTCTTTTAATGGCAACTGCTCAGTTATAGAGATATAGTCTTTAAGATAGAGGTAAGAATAGTTAGATGAATGTACGTATATAGTTCTTTGTTTATGTCCTGGTGTTTTGCTAGTTAACTTCTATATTCAACTCAGATTATACTTAGTTTCTAATCATGTTGGATCATTACGAAGCGTTAAATAAAACTTAGGTCCAGTATAACTAAGAGGACTGTTCGTTTTATCTCACCTGGCACTCGCGCGAAGGTCTATGCTTGTATTACTCCATTAAATGTGCCATACAGGTATGCATCATCCAGGACTAATGATATACAAAGAGCAAAGGTTAGAAGAACAAGGAATAGTATAAAAGTTTTGATACTTCGTCTATTCATAGTCTAAATATGATCAAGTAAAGACTCGTGTCTAAAAAGGACGATTACATAACAGTTGGGAAACCAATCTGTACATCAATTCTCCTAAATACTCAGTTGATCCCTCTTAGGAAGTGTTGTTTAATCTTGGTCAGTTAGAACTCCCTGAAATCCCCTATCTACTCCAATTTTAAGCTAGCTATAAGTTTTCTATATCTACCACTTTTTCTCTCTCACTTAATGCTCTGTCGATGTTCCTCGAAGAATGGGTATTTATATAAGAAAAACTGAATCATAATTATATTCGGATATATATATGTGATTATATATTTGGATGACTACATATAGAAAAGGTGCCAAAAGTATACATATCTGGAATATTTAAATCCTGATTAAAACAAGCATCGAATTTTGGCATGTCGAGAGTTTTTATATATATTATATACTTGTCAATTTGTATTGATGTACTAGAGTGGATTTTAGTGATGTTATATATATTCATTATATGTATATATATTATTTATTATAATGTTTCTCTTTTTATAGTCTATTATACTGCATTAAAACCTTTTTTTATCTATAATATGCACTCTAGAATTATGTCTCTGAATGTGTTACATTATTTGTATCTAATAAAAATCAAGACAACGATGTAAAAACAGATAATATAACAGCTATAAACTAAAAAAAACATGTGATTAAAAAGGAGGAAAAAAGGAGGTAGTAGGAATACACAGATTCAAGAGCTAACTGAGCACGTTTACTTTAATCTATCGAATTGGTCATTTATGATTGGATGCCATTATTGAACCATTTATATTTTTTTAACATTAGATCTGGATAGATGGAGATAGAAAAACAGACATCAGCGAGAGAGTAAAACGTCACTTTAAAAATGAACTCACACGCTCACAGTACTTACCAACAAAGTCCCAAACAAACACGTTCCTCTGGAAGAGACGGTTCGATTTAAACCCGTGCAAGAGGAACTTCTCTAAGGAAAGCACCAGGCCTCCTTCACCGCACAACAACACTGTCAAGTTTCCCCTCTGGGATGAGAGAGAAGGGAGAACTGAGTTAATTTAGAGGCACTTTAAGTATGAGAGGCTCATCTTTCAACTTCAGTAAATCCTCTCTTATGAGCGCTGCAATTTTCCTAAATCCTTTAGCAGCAGAGAACAATTTGTTTGTTTTTGAATCTAAAAAGGATCTTCTTTCATTTACTAAGAGGAAGTAAACAGAACAGAGCAAATTCTTGTGCATTAAAGCCCTGCGCACTGAAGATGTTATTACAATGAACTGCAGGCCTATTACAGACAGACTAAAGTCATCCATCAAGTCTCTCCAGCGCTTTTAACTTGCATGAGATAAGAGAGCCTAGTCTGATACACAGATGAGACAAATGAGGCTCAGGATGGAAACAAAAATGCATTAACCATTTTCTCCATTTCCACTTAGTGAGCCAACAGGTAAAATTAATGTTCAGAAGCTGAGTCAGTGGGACAACACTCACTATTACAGTCACATACCTCTTGTTCGGGTTTGTGGAAGTGTTTCACAAGGTTATTCGCCGCCTCCCTCATGTCCTCTTGCACTTCAACAGACAGCATTCCTGACGAGATAAATCAAGTTAAAAATAGGAACATGAGGATGAATGATGACAAACATGAGGAGAAGTGGACAGGGGGCTGAGGAGAGAAAGGCGATACGGAGAGCAGGATCTGTTATTGTAGTGAGCATACAAACAAGTAGGTCAGCTATTGTACTAAAGAATGTGTTCTTTGTCAGCACGTACTGCTTCGGCTGCCAAGCGATCCCAGGACTGTCCGCACACTCTGGGAAGGAGAGGCCAGCTCCGGAGGCGTCCCTGTCCACCTTCCAGCATCCTCCTCCCCACCAGGTGACACCAGCTGACCAATGAGAACTCTTTCCAAGCTGCCATCGCCCACACCTTTCCCCAGCCATCGGCCGCATGGGAACCTAAGGGGAAAGAAGACAAGTGTTTCATTATATTAAAAAAGTTATTTATTATACAAGGACACGGCGTAGGTTTGGGCCATCTGTTTCAATCAGCTAGTGTCGTGTGTTTATTTTTCGAAATAACTCGAACAGTGAGAACTGTGTCTAGTCCATTAACTACAAATCACATATTTTTCACATCAGCAGTTCCCAATCTTTTTTAAATTACCCCTTTTCTATCATTGAGCAAACTGACAACCCGTATTTTATGGATATTACATATTATATTCAATGCAATAACAGTAACAGGACAGAACAACTGATAAACTGCAGGAAGTTTGTGTAAAATTAGCGATTTGAATGAAGTTTTAGCAGATTATATCCCATGAATACTGCATCAGAGATGAGATGTACTAATTTTTTAGGAACTTTTTATACAATTTTATGTCTGTATTATGCATTGTTCTTATTTTTTAAACAATAATACATATTTAATAGGCTTCTCTTTTTTTTTGACAAATTCAGTTTTTTCTTCCCCTGACCTCCCTTTTGCCATTGTTCTGTTCGCTCTTTGGTTTTGGTTTTAAAGAAAACTAAACGAAATTGTTATTTATAAAGTTTAGATTATTATTTAAAATCTAAACTGTATAAATAACAATTTCGTTTAGTTTTCTTCACAGAAACAAATAAAATGCTGAGATATCTTTTAAGTTTTCTTACACCCCTTAAAATCAAGAAAGCCTTGCGGCCCCCAGGTTGGAAATCACTTGTTTATGTATTTTCCAAGGCAATACATAAATCTTTAGACCAATTTGCTCTTTACTAGGCAGCAGCTGTCAGTTCATGACAGTATGGTGTTAAATAACCTTGCAGGGACGTGAATAATGCCCAAAATAGGAAATAAGTATGTCTACACTATGTTATTATCATGTGATAAAGCAGCTTTCTCATAGAAACATTTAAGGAAGCAAGAGACATCCAATATGTCATCCGATCTTTACCAAACGGGGAGCTGTTAACCACAAACACATATCTGTACAGCCACTGTTCTGTGCTTAGAGAAGGTCAGAGTAAGAATCTTACTTGTAGGTGTGTCCAGTGATCTCATTATACACCATCACACAGTCTATCAGACACTTGGCCAGTAAGCCAGAGTTCTCCTGGCCCAGCTGCAGAGTGCTCAGTCTGCCCAGGTTCTTGCACTAAAATTAAAAGCACAACAGTTAAGCACAGTTAAGTGTATGCATGCGTCTCTGTCAGACCTGATGATGACCTTACTGCTGAAAAGCGTTTACAAACCTGGAAAAAAATCTCCTGCGTGTTCTTTGATATCTGTCTAACCCCTGAATCACCCAGTTCTCCCGACACACACACCCAAGGGTTAACTGTCGCCATTGCAATGCTCAGCTTCTTCATGGGTATGATAACAACACGGTATGGAATATCTGGAGGGACACAAGAGACCAAAAAGCAAAGTTTTATTCATTCATGTCATTTCCTTCACACTAAAAAATGTCTATTGATTGAGATTTAGAGGGTTTATGTGAATCCATAATAATAATTATTATTTATTTTTATATAGCGCTTTAAAAGTTACTCAATGGCACTTAAAATAGTAACAATAATAACAAAAAGACAATCAGCACAGGCATTATGTATAAAAACAGATAATATAACAGCTATAAACTAAAAAAAACAACTGTAGCTATTAAAAAGGAGAAAAAAAGAGGGTTTGATAGACCACAGATTCAAAGCCGATTTATATGGATGGGTTGATGGTTGATGGGTGAGTGTGATTTTTAAAAGATCGGAGTGAGGGAGAATGTCTGATGTGTCGGTGGAGAGAGTTCCAGAGGGAGGGACCAGGTAAGAGGGGTGAGGAGGTTGGCATCAGCAGATTGAACTGGATTCGTTGTTGAATGGGGAGGTTCATCCAGTGGAGGTTTTGAGGGACTGGGGTGATGTTATCTCTGGTGCGGCAGTAGGTGAGCAAACGAGCAGTTTTGGATAATTTGTTCAGGATTTTGGCGGATGTGCTGTTCAGAATGCTGTTGCAGTAGTCGAGTCGTGAGGTGATGAAGGTGAAGGGCAATGTTTTTCAGAGGATCTGTCCAGAAGCAGTGAGCCATCGATGCAGAGTAAGAAATTATGGCAGGATTTGATGAGGGATTTTGGGCCGATGATCATGATTTCCGATTTGTCACTGTTAAGTTTGAGGAAGTTTGCTCACATCCATGATTTCTGTGAGGCAGTTTGTGAGGTTGGAGTAAGTGGCAGCAGTAAAGGATTTGGTGGAGATGTAGAACTGGGTGTTATCGACAGTGGAAATGTAGTGAATTGTAAGTGGCAGCAGTAATGGAATCCATGGGTGTCATTCAAGTATATGGAGGGGTGGGAGATGGGGGTTGTAAAATAACCACAACTCGAAGCAAACCTTCAGTGTCCTTGAAAGCTCTAAAAGCATAAACTTGACAGTACTTTCTACCATTTTGTTGTTAAAGTTTACAGGACTTACTGATGGAGGTGAAGACGCGTGTGAAGCAGAGGTAGTCCACAGTGTTGAGAGAGAGCAGGTGGAACAAAAACTGCTCCCTTTCTTCCTCACAGAGCAGGAATGCATGTGGTTTGTACAGCTGCCTGTCAGGAGACAAGAAAAAAAGCAAAGCAGTCAGTAATAATCATGGAATATGTATATTTACATTTGTGTCATTAGGTAAACTATGAGGGGATTCTGACCTGAGCAGCTCCTGGTTTGTAAGAAGCTCTTTCAGGTGTTGGGACAGCATTTTCTTCTCCAGAGCCAGGTGGATCCATGCCCGAGCCTGACCCACCTCAGACAGACCCTCATTCATAGTCTGGATAAACCTGCAAGAACAACAGACAGACTCACATAAGCAGGGAAAAACAAGCTCTAATGTTTTACTATTTCATTCTATATATCTTATCTTTATATCTTTTAGAACAATCAAACACTGTAACCAAGAAACATAACCTCTCATGACCCCTCGACAAAGAAATTTCAGCCAATATATTGGTTTGGTTTTGGTTTGAAAATGGAAATGAAGCAGCAAAGATAGTTTTTCATCTGCATTTTTATATACACCAGTCTTTCCAATATTAAAGTATGTTACCTCATATCCTGTATTAAGGATCCTCTCAGGAGCAGAGCGCCATCATCAAATGATCTCTGATCTGAACCGTTAGACCCTGAACAGACAACAAGTTAAACACCAATGATCATTCGACTCTTAGCTCAGTGATTTACACAAAAAAAAACAAAAAAAAAAAACTGTCTGTGTTCGGACCTGGAGACTCAGTTGGTGTCTCTGTCTTCCCCTGGGCCGCCTGGTAGTGAAGCAGATGGGACCAAAGAGCGGACTTCCCCTGTTAATAAGAATAAACCCACTTGTCAATATTCAGCATGTTCCTGCTGTCTCCTCTTTGTGTGCATGATGTGAATTGATTACATGAGAAAACACAGTTCCAGATGTTGTTTTATTTTTTTAGGTCATCTGAGCTTGTAAGGCATGTTAAGTTATGTGTCTGACCTGTTTCAGCTGCAGACCATGGCCCCAGGTTCTCTCCAGTAGGTCACACAGACCGTGGATGAGTGTGTTCTCCTGCAGGCCTGTGATGTTGGCTTCTCCCTGACCCAGTTCCACACTCTCCTTCCCCATCCTCTCCATCAACATCCGTTTGGTCTAAAAGAGCCAGGAAAGATTGTGGCATTAACCTCGAGCGACAATTTAAGAAATTAAAAGACAGCGTTCAGACTCCATTACCACGCAGACAAAGCCCTCACCTTCAGACGACACTCGCTCAGCAGCCCGTCAACGAACTCTCGGTGAGTCTGAGTGACGGCTTGAGGCGATGAGTCAAGCAGCTTAGACTGGCGGAGGTTCTTCCTTGCAAATGTGTGCTTCTGTTAAATAAACAAACGGTAATAAATCAAGCAAGCTTCCTGAGGCCTGTGTGTTTGTGTCTGTGCGTCTGAACAGATGAAAGTACCTGTCTCTGGTCATTGTCCACTCCTGAGTGTTCGGTCACTGTTGATCTCTTGGGGTCGGTCCTGCGTGAAGCTGTAACCCGACTGGACCACCTGTTCACCCAGATAACACAGCAAAATAAAATTCACCACTCCAACTGTGTTTTTGTTTTTAAGGCATGTGTGTCTGTGTATTTTAGTAGGTAATAAAATACACCCTGGCAACTGGTGATACACCAATGCATCCTTTATTGTGTGACGTATCCCGACAGCTGTATCAGATGAACTCAAGTATACCTTCAGCATGTTCCAAAATGTGTTTATTTTAATTAACTTTAAAGCAAATGTAAAGTAACATTATGACTTACATAAACATGGTAATTTAATCAATATGTTCCATCATACAGTTGAATTGTCAATATTTATGTAAGTTTGGTCAAATTTGTCAACTATATGACTATATTACCATTTACCTTTAGCTATTAAACTGTTTTACCTAACTATTACAACTATTTATCCATTACTTTTAGCTAACAAATTCAAATTATTTTTAACTAACTATTCTAACTGTTTGTAAACTACTTTTAGCTATTTCAACCCGATTATCCATTACTTTTAGCTAACTATATTATATTATAGGTTTAGCATATATAATATAATATTATATCATATCATATTATATACTATATTAACCATTTATCTCATACCTTTAGCTAATTCTTTCAGCTGTTTGTAAATAACTTTTAGCTATTTCAACTATGTATCCATTTGCTAACTATCTGGTTCATCCATTACTTTTAGCCAATTATCCTAACTGTTTGTAAATTACTTTTAGCTAACTATTAACTGTGATAATATATTTACAAAAGATCAGCATCACCCTCAATGTGTTAACATATTTGGATGTGTATTTTCCTCCTAAAATATGTGGCCAATTTCCAATTAGATGAGCTACTCCCTATTGTACCATGTGACAACTGCACAAGTACCCTCGGGCCAAAGTTACAAGTGCACGTGGTTTGGAATCACTGTTCTTCTCTGTTCTCACTGAATGACGGCAGAAAACAAAGACTCACTTGTTGGTGTTTTGTCCCTGTGCGAGCACATCAGCCTGCAGCTTGGGGAAGTAGCCCTGCTGGTGACGACCCTGGCCGATCCTCATGTCCAGCAGGTGGGGGTGTATGGCTGTGTGGTCAGCCTTCAGCAACCTGCGCTCAATGGCCTGAGCTGCAGACACAAACAGAGCAATGGTTAATCTCCAACAGGAGTATCTACTGCGGATATATTCAGGTTGTTTAAGTACTAAGTTTGTTTGGTTGCAAGAAGAGTCACAGAAAGTACAAACAATACAAATGGTACCATATGAAAAGAGATGGAGCAACATCTTTAGTCTAAACAACAATGGTACAGACACACTGAAATTCAAGCAGATAATTCATTGTAGAGTGGTTGGCAGGACTTTAAAGGAAGGTTTGACACAAAGCTCTGTCCTCCGCTTATACCCTATAATGCTCATCCCCTAAAATATCCTTTGGTTCCCTCTCCAATCCCCTAAATTTACCCTTTTTTCCTCCCTCATATCAGATTATAACCCATCCCCTTTGTGTTTCAGTGATTTATTTGATTTTCATTTCCATTTATGAAATGTTTCCATCAGTTACTCTTTGAATAGTTAAATGTACTGGTACACAAGTCCCCTCAAGCAGAGTTTAAGCAATTTTCAGCACTTATTATAGAGGAGAGAGAAAAATGTGGTTGCAGAAAAGCCAGGCAACATAATCAACATACTGTACAGTATAAACCCAAACACAAGGACAGATGGTGAAAGATTTGCAGACTCCCACTTTAAAATCTGGCATCCACTTCAATCACATCATTCTGCTCAATCTACCAACTAGGGCTTCAGTCTACCTCCTGTCTTCCTATCTATATTCTGAAAATAAACTGGTGAAACATCCTGATGTTGCTCTTGTTTTGTTGTAGGGTGTCATTAAAATGTACAGCTTCTTTAAATGTATATGTATTAATTTAAGTTACTATTAAGTGCCAAAGTAATTTTAATTGTGTACATGTCATTGTCTGTTTCCAGAAGCTGTAAACTTAACTAACCAGTCATCTCTGCACCTGCACATCACTGTCAAATTTACATTAAACCATATGAAAATGAAGTTATATTAAGAATTTCCTGGTCAGAAAACAACATTGATTTGTATGTATTAAAGGTAAAATCGAAGCTGGATTTCTGTTTTTGTTGCATATTTTGCCTTCCTTGTCTTGACTTACTCTCCAACAACATGGCACTTTATTTCATCCTCTTTTGTTCATAAACTCCTCCACAGTACCTGACTCAAAGAGTGAGGTGCATTTCCTGTAGCGGCAGGGAGTACGGGAGTCCTCTTCGTCTGTGTCATATAGTCGATCTCTCTCCAGACGGCTATCAAACAGCTGCTGCAGTGGCTCTCTATCCGCCCAGCGAGATATGACCTTCCCGTCCACAAAAGAAGAAAACATGGAAGTCTCCAGGAACCGGGACAAGAAGTGCAAGTGGGTCGCAGGCTGAACTGAGAGGAAGGAACCCTGAAACATTGAAAAGCAGTTATAATGTTTCTATCAGAAAAGCACAGAGACGCAATCTAATTAACATACATTGAAATGTTTGGCATAAATACAGTTGTTTTGGATCTATCTATCGATCTTTGCGTACTGATCTACTGAAGTACCTTGTCAAAGCTGAACGTCCCCTCTCGGTTGCTCAGCCAGGAGTCCAAATCAAGAGCACTGTGGATGACAAAGTCCTCATACCTGCCAAACATGGCAGCAAAACGTCCAGCAAACACCTCCCTTAGCTGAATGTTTAGCTTCGCAGCCTTCAGCTCTTCCTCCTCCTCCTCAAAAACGTGGCCCAGCGTCTTCCCTCCATCTGACATTTTTCCTCCTCCACACCTCCGTGCCAGAGCCTGCAGCCTCTCCAGCACCGCCAACTCCTCGCCTCCGAGGTTCCCGTTCCTTCTGTCCTCCATCAGATCCTCCAGCACCAGGCTGTTCAGGCGAGGGGAGGTGGTTGTGGGCTTAGTGATCGCACCGCCCTGAGGAGGGAGCCCAAAACGCAGCAGTACCTCACTCAGTTCCTGGATCAGCTCGATCTGGTCTGGAAACACGGGAAGGTCCTCGGGGGCCTCGACACAGTGGTTGTCAATGTCCACAAAGCACAGGTTGGCCTGTGGAGAGACAACAAGAGAGTTAAAAATATGAAAGAACAATATTCAACTGGCTCATCCATCAGATAATCATAACAGGTTTAACCAATCACAATGCACAGACTCTTCTGGCTGAGCTTTAACATCCAATTAAGATCAGAGATGAAGATTTACATCCCATTAATAGATTCTTGGCATTTCACCGTGATAAGCCCTCAGAGGATATTAGCATATGAAGGATTATCTAATGATTACTGTTATCACTGGGAAATTGTGGAAATATCAGGCTTTCACACTCGCAAACAAATCATAAAAAAATGATGCCCATGAAGCTGCTGAGAAAAGAATTAAAGAAGCGTGTGAGAGCGATGGCCACTGATTTGAAAGTACTGCTTGTGTAAGCAGTAGTGGAGCACAGTGCAGTCAGCAGCAATGTGACCTTCAATGGTGACCTCAAGCAGTCAGTTTACAGCCTCAGGGGAAGTTGGTAGATGTGCTGTAGAGTGGATGGATGCAGACATCCTTTTACTCTGTGCAGCTTCATCCTCCTAGTTAATGTCTTCACTGTTTAGTATTTTTGTCATCTCTTTCATTCAAATGTCATAAGACCATGTTCTGAAGATTTTCCATGTATATCAATATTAGGAAGGATCATTTTCTCTGTGTGTGTGTGTGTGTGTGTGTGTGTGTGTGTGTTTAAGCCACTTGAGTTAATAATAAAAAAATATAAAAGAAGGAAAAACTAACCAAAATCTTACATGTGTACTATGGAGCCTAAGCTTTTCTTATAAGGTTGTTATCCAAAAGTACATTAATATAAGTAAAAAAGAGAAAATCAGACAATGACATTATCATGGAAAAATGTACATAGTCCAAGTATTGGTAAATGGCTGAAGGAACTGTTAATTTCTTTTTTTTAATTAAAATAAATAAGGGTCCGTTTAATAATGATCTTAAAACACACAGACATGGAAAGTGTATTAGGTCAACAAGGTACATTTGGAGATGTTTGATATGCTCCTCTGCTAGGAGCAGGATGGAAGCCTAACATCAAGGTGGCTGTAGACAATGGTGATTATTTGCTAAAGAAGAAGCATTTCCGTTTTATTGTTATTGTTTTTGTATTTTTATTATTTATATATTTGCTGTATTTACTTATGCGTATCATTTCAATTATTATATCTGTTTATGTTTCTTGGAAAACAAATAAAGCGTTAAAAAAAAAAGAATCACACATGAGTAAAATATTTTCCACTTGCCTGCAAATTACCACCCATACATCAAATTGCACAACTCAAGAGTTAAGTGGTGATCCCTAATTCTCATTAATTATTCAGCGAGTCTCATTATTCGGGATTTCTCATGCTCTGCGTTTTTGCTTTCATCCTCCCCCAAGCTATCTTTCAACTGCCTCCTTTTTGGGGCAGAGCGACTTCAAAGAGGCTTCAGTGAGATATTCATGCAGCATAAAGTGATCTCGGGTGCAGGACTGGATTGGTGAAAGGGAAATGTATCGTCTCAGTTCGACAGGCCGGAGGCAGAGGGTAAGTTGTCACGCATGCAGCACAGAGAGGGGATCAGCAAATGGCTGAAAGAACACTTTGGTTTAGCAAAACATTTTTAGATCCTTTTGTGTGAATGTTTAACGACATGTCTCCATCCTGAAATTCTAATTGGCATGTTCACACAGGAAACTACAGATGCATTGACGCGCAAGACCCGTGCTCAGTGCTGTACCTCATGAGGAAGGTGGAAGGATGATCGCTGAGCTCCTTCTCTGCGCTGGATACCTATCAGGAACGGCATGGGAGCATCCAGGAGGTGATGTAACGGAGCAGAAACAATGGGCAGGTAGATGTGTTGCCACTGGAATGGGAAGAGCAAAGTGGTGATGCCCTCTGCCACTGTCATCAAACGCTGATAGTCTGAGGAGATGAGAAAGACAAGAGACAGATTAGATTAGCATAAAGGAATTATCTATAAGCACCAAGGGAAGAAAATGTGCATTAGGACCAAGAACATTCACCTTGAACAGTATTTTAATGAGGCTTTTTTACCAGAGCTGCTTATAGAACAATTTAATTCATATTCTTGTTTACATGCAGCACAGCGCGGCCCAATTAATGACTGGCGATGCTCCATACTCATTAAGTTACAATTTCCCTGTAGTATTTAACCGTAAACCCATTTGTCATGCTGTCACTCTAGATTACATTGTGGTGTAAATTGTGGAAAAATTAGATATAGATTTTGTTTCAGTTTACATTATGTATTGTACTTGTCTTATAGTTCTGGATTGCTAAATTCTGCAAAATGGATTAAGGTGCTCTCTAGTCTATACTCACATTTGCTATCCTACACTGTCTTAAAACTGATTTTCTTTATATCATTAATAATAACTTCCTCTGATTATGACCTTTTTCGCATTTAGGTAATCTGTACATTTTGGCAATCTAAAATAACTGAGTAATGTGCTGACCTTGAGAGCAAAGCAGGACTTGCGTCTCCAGAAGTGCACAGGTAAGTAGTTGCACCATATTGTCGACACCCAGGAGGGAGAAGGCCTCTCCAAGAGGATACTCCCCCAGTGGAAGCTCACCGGGCCCAGGGCGCTGGCAAATGATGGGTCCCTGCACTCCATGGAACCTCAGCGACCTACCAGGGGGAGGCAGGGGCACCTCGTACAGGATGTTATGGATGTAGCTCTCCAGAGGGAGGGGTGGAGGGGTGTGCGATGTCACAGCCTGGTGCAGCTGAGACAGAAACTGTCGGGCAGCTTGAAGGAAGGGGAGCGGCGTGAAGAGGCAGAGGGCTTTAGACACGTACAGAGTGTCTCGTGCTGGATCAAAGGAGCCTGCACAGCCGAGGCAGGCGGACACCCCGGCCAGAGACTCGGCGTCTGACTCATCCAAGCTGCTCACAAGTGAGTCCATGCTGGAGGTGGACGGCGAGGAAGCAGACGAAGACGATGAAGAGGGAGAGGAGGCAGAGGAAGCTGAATGATGCTCTACGTGGTGCATCTGGCAGAGAGTATGCATGGCAGTGATGATCTGAGCGCTAGTCACTTCCTCGTAGAAGGTGTGGACAAAGCCGTAGGAACGAGTGCCATCGTCAAAAGACATCGTGAACGAGTGAAACTGGGGATCGAGCCGGTCTGCTTGCGTGCGGAAAGAAAGACCTCTCGGCATACAGAGCTGAGGAGAAAGTGTGAGGAAGGAAGAGTAACAGAGGGTTTAGAATAAAGTTGCAAATAAAATGTAAAACTTAGAATACAATAAACTATACAAAATGGGTATGTTTGTTGTATTTACGCTACTGGCACAGGTAGTTGTTTCCGGATCTAAAAACCCAATAAAATTACTGATACCATAAACAAGTAACACAAAATAAAGTGGTGTCTACTCAGAGGTTAAAAAAAAAGGTAAGTAAGACAATAAAATGAATTTAATTCCACCTGACTGCTAACAATTCTTCAGAGACTCATGCTTTCAACATCCTGACCTGCTTTTCCAACAGAGAACAATAAACATGTTCTGTGTACTTGGACAAAAAAAAAGAAGAAAAAAGAGTATAACCTATTAGATGCAGTGAACAAACAAAGCTCCTAATACACCTTTATACCCAGCTGATTTTTGTTATCAGGTTCCTCTTTTGTCATTTGTAACAATAGTCACGTACACTGGTTGGAGGAGCCACAAAACATTTGCCCTACAAACAAGGCACATCTTGTCCCTCCTTATCGTTTCCATTGTCATGAGAGAGAATGAAGGACACTGAAGAAGGGCGAGAGGAGTGTGAATGTGTGATCCAAGATCTCACCATGTTGACAGCATCTTTATTGAAGGGGTTCCTGTCTGTGCTTTCAGGGTAGTGCACCAGAACCTTTGACTTGAAGGACCGTCGAATGGGGCTCTGCTCAAAGGCCTCGCCTGAACAGACAGAAAAAAAAGGAAAGAGATGTTAAGGCAGTATCATATTAGTACAGAGTGATCTTTGACCTTCATCACTGCTGAGACAGAATTCATTACAAGATGAAAGGGACAGTGCATAGGACATCACACAAAATGACAGCAGCTTTGATTTGTGAATAAAAGCTCGCTCAGGACGACCTTGTCTGACTCTGCTGGGGGAAAAAAAAAAATCATCTGTTGTCGACAGCGAGAGCCATTCTGCAGCAAAGAGGGAAAAACCCTTCCAAGGGTTATGTAACTCAACTCATTACCATAGAGATAGACTTGAAACGCGGTACAACACCCCTCATCCCTGACACTCTGCAGTAGCAAACTCTTTACACTTGTAGGGAGCGCACAGGATGAAAAATAGGATGCTTTTTTATATATCAAGAGCGCTTCAGCTCGAGGTGAAGGAAGAGATTTCTATATAACAGCTGAATTTGCGCTGCATGCAAGAAAACTCTACAATACACTCCCACATTCACAATGCACCGATTTTAACGTATCGCCACATCTGGCTCAAGTTTCTCCTCTCTTCAGTCTCTGCACCTTGTGTCAGCTTCTAGCTCAGGTTACATACAGTCTGTGTGAGCATGAGATGAGGAAGAGGAGCTGCTGAAAAATAGACAAAAACAAACTGTGTGTGTATGATTCAGCGTGTGTAATAGTAGTGAATGAGATACTTTCATTATTCATCCGCTTTCCAAGAGGATGCCCTTGAATAGTCCTCCTCACTGTAATCCACCGTGAATTCACAGTCTTCATGTTGAGCTTTAACTGACATCACTAGCGTTGCAAGAACAAAACAACTGCAAATGGCAAACTTCTCTTCTTCTCTCAGCTGCCAGCTTTGACGCACTAGTTCAGCATTCAGGAACATCCACCTCACCTGCCTACGAGATGACGCACGGCACCCCGAGAGAGAGGAAACCGAGCCGCAGGCAGAGCGAGGAAGGAGCACCACAGTTAGACCTCAGTTAAACTGAGTCAGACTGGTAGGTGGGAGACAGAAGCTAATGGATCACAGAGACAAGAGGGGGAGTCAGTGTTCTTTGCCACGGATACAAATTGGTGTCGGCGCTGAGAGGCAGAATCGAAAGCCTCGCAGAAAGGACGCCTAGTTGCCATGGTAGCAATTTCCGCCGCGGCCTTGAAGATAACCATCAAGACAAAGCTCGTCAACGGTTACGTCACATTCGAGTTTCATCAGCTGACCCAATTAGAACCAACACGGCTCCTGACACAAGTTCCCACCGAAGAGTTTACACCAAAGACTGTATAATTAAAAAGGTTTACACACAGGCCACATTCATGTTCTCCTTCTCCGTGTTCACAGAATAGAGTCAGAGGGAGGTTTGCTTTAGTGTTTAAATTAAAGCTTAAATGGCTGTTTCAGTTGGGCTGTAATTAGCATGTTTCCTGCTCTCACTACATTAACATACACACAGTAGAAACTATGTGTGAGCTAATAAGGTGCAGAATATTTCATCAGAAAGGGCAGAAACTAAAGATTATTTTCATAATCCCCAAATATATTCAGTTTACTCTCACATAAGACGAACAAAATCCACAAATCTTCACATTTCAGATGCTGAAACTACTTGATGTTTGCTCTGTTTTTAAAAAATTAACAAAATATGTGCTGATTAATTTTCTGTCTAATGGACTTTTTCAGCCCTAATCCTCAGTCCATTAAATTCTTCAACACTGTCACCATAATATCAATATTGTCAATGTTTTTCGTGGAAAAACAACAACAACAAAGTGTTTCATATTCATCCCACGGTTTAGACATTCATCACAAAGATTTATGGCCCTTAAAGGGTCCCCCATCCCCTAAAAACAGGCACACTTAATCAGGGATGATTGAGCAGCCATAAAGGTAGACATCTGTCATATTCTCCAACTAAATTACCCTCGGCCGTCCATCACATCATTACACGAGTAGATGAGGACACATATAAAAAGTGGAAAGAGATTAAAATGACAGCAAATGTCAGCTGGCACTGACTGATGAGGAGTTGTTCCTTTTTGGCTGGTACAGTTTAAATCACTCCGTCTTTGCATTACAGATTTGTCCGTCCACTGAAGGTGAATCATAAAACAAGGAATATGACACATTTCTCTTTTAATCTCAGAGAAGTGGTGCTGGGCTCTTAAAATAAAGGATACAAAGAAAGTGTTGAGTGCCTAAAAATAAAACAAGTCAGACTCAGACTCAGACAAACATATACATCTCAGTTCAACATTATAACACTGCTCTCAAATGTTCGGTCAGGGAGTTCTTGCCCTCCACTGATGTCATCCCCCCGTGACAGTCATCAGGCCTGAACCGGAGCGCTGAAGCCCCGGCCATTCGACGTGCCAACAGGCAACGTCATGTGAAATTTGATTAGGCTGCAGAAAATACAGTGGCATCTATTGAGAGGCCAACAAGAGCAGATTGTTTCTCTGTAGGCATTCACTAATTACAACGAGAAGAGATACTGTATGACCTCACACAACCAAGAAACACACTTGGTGTACACAAGTGATTTAACATCTCTTGCTTGACTGCAGTTTATAGAATATGTATGTAAGGAGAAAGAGATCCCTTAAACAGAGCAGAAACCTCCTCCCCTGCTGCAGTGGGTCTGCGATGACCTCCTGTTACATAAGGAGATTGGTGGAGCTCAGATACATAATAGCCAGCAGCGTTGTCACTCGCTGCAGGGAGACAGCCATCCAAGTCCCCTGATGGTTTAGGTAAAGCACTAAATAATCTGCAGCTGAACGTGTTCCAAAAGGATACAGAGCTTATCCTAAATATATATTTATTATTTAAAAAGGCATGATTAAGCATGTTTTACATCCATCTATATCCCCTGAGGATGTCTTTATTCATGAGCTACATTTCTGTTACAAAGAACAGGTATAATACAGGGTGTGACAGCTGCTTGAGCTCCAAAAAAACTCAAAACCTGGAAGTGAGCTCAAGCAAGCACACCTGCATGGTTCTTGTTCCTCACACACACACACACACACACACACACACACACACAGAGCAGGACACGTGCAGACGTCACAGAGGGCTCCAGGGTGAATCTGTCCTCACCCGAGCCGAGCCAAGTGTCAGCAACTCGGTGTGGTGGAGGAAAAGCAACACCACCTCTATTTTCTATCCACCACAAATAAACCATCACTGCAGCTGTCATTGCCGTGGCAACCCCCCACATCCACCTACAGTATTTCTTCACCACCTTTTTCAGCTGAGAGGTGTTTTTTCTTGGTAAAACAAAGGGGTCCATCTCTCTGATTGAGAGCAGCGGAGGTGATGAGAGAGCTGAACCTTATAGATTATCACCATTGTTATCAACCTTAGGTTAACCACTGGCTGGATGCTTCGTCTGTGTTCACTGGGAACATGATGCTGTTGTCCTCCCTTTACTGAACCCTTTCTCTGCTATGCTTCTCATCAGGGGTGTAGCAGTGGATGACTTGCAGAAACCAACAACAGAGGAAAAACTATAATCCTTTTTGGATTTTGTGCTTTTGGTTATTCAGTGAAAAAAAAAAAAAAAGATATATAAATATATATCTTATATCAGCATTAAAATGTTGAAAAAATACACAGATCCTGGCAATAATATGTATTAGCAAATTCTGATGGGATTTATTTATCTATTTGTTATTAATAATATAGGCTACTAGCAGATTTGATGTTGTCAACAACGCTTTGAAAGAGGAATGAGGCGTACAACCACAACATATGGATGGACACACACACAAAAAAAGCCTTAAAATGGTAAACATGAAGCATGACATTAAACACATCCTAGTATTTGTTTTGTAGTGTGGTATTTGTTTCCTTCGTGATTTATAGACCATGTACCTGCTCCATCGTCCGGCTCCAGGCCCGTCTCAGTGTCCACTCCGCACACAACAAAATAGTGGGCGAAACGGCAGGAAGCCGATCCGGTGGCCGCTGCGGTCCCGTTCATCCTCGACGCGTTAATGGTGTGAGAGAGAGAGCTCCGTTTACACTTTCTGCTTCTCGGTGTGGATGTTCATAGCTGACTGCAGCTAATCCGAAATGTTTGCCGCCTCTCCTCTCTCTTTCCTCTTCTCCTGGTCCTCCTCCTCCACCGCGTTGATCCGTGCGCTGGGTTGTTCGCTTGTGTCCACGCCCGCCTGCAGTCACTGATCCACGGCGTCTCTCTGATGGAGCTCCGGAGGATCCAGCGATGGTCATCTGGTGTGTTCAGATGGGGGGAGGGAGGGAGGGAGGAGGCTGTGTGTGTAGGCCGGAGACAGAGGGAGGGAGGAGACAAAGACATCATCGTCAATGTTCATCAATCAGACTCATTTTAAAGGGTGTTGTCCAAATTCATCATCTTTATTTTTTATTTTTTTAATACACCAGAATGACCGGAAATGCATATTTAGACTTATACACTGGGTTGGGAGGGTTACTGTAATCTGTAATCGATATAATCACTAATTACCTGTTAAAGAATGTGGTGAGTAACTTAATACTAAAAGTATCACTATATTAAAGTAACGTAACTTTAAATTAAGGACAGAAAAAACACAGCAAAAACATTTCTCACCATTTTATTGCAAATAGTGTATATATTTTATATTTTTTTATTATATATTATTATTTTGTGATTCTTTATGGTACTATTTGCACTATATTCCCATATGCTGCTGTGTCTGATTTTAATTTCTCCTACAGGGGATCAATAAAGGAACATCTTATTTTATCTCACTTAATTGACACTGGCCATGTGTCAACACTGGAAA